TTTCCAACTCTCCAAATTTCCATCTCTTCAAATTCCCAACTCACCAAATTCCTAACTCTCCAAATTCCCATCTCTCCAAATTCCCATCACCCCAAATTCCCAACTCTTCAAATTCCCAACCCTCCAAATTCACAACTCTCCAAATTCCCCACTCTCCAAATTTCCATCTCTCTAAATTCCCAACTCTCCAAATTTCCAACTCTCCAAATTTCCATCTCTTCAAATTCCCAACTCACCAAATTCCTAACTCTCCAAATTCCCATCTCTCCAAATTCCCATCACCCCAAATTCCCAACTCTTCAAATTCCCAACCCTCCAAATTCCCATCTCTCCAAATTCCCAACTCTCCTAATTCCCAAATCCCCAAATTCCCACTTTCAAAACATTACTAAACCCACTTACTGTCCACCCCACGCAAATATCCCAGTTACACTATTTCAGCGTACCAACTCTACTTAGAGTGTTTTCGATTAAAAGTTAATTCATCGTAAACGTACGAGAAGCGTTGAATACGTAGATCTCGTGACCAGTAGCACTCTACGTTACAGAGCAAAATCTGTTCTCTGCGAGATAATCTTTGGTTCGGTGAAAGGATGTACTATGTAATTTTAGATCGTCGGTAGCCGACACGAGTGTTCCAGCCAACTTTATCTTCAAAGATGGCGCGTAATACGTTCAAAGCCGTCCCGTGATTCGTCACGGGCCCTTGAATGCATCGGAAACATACCTCCGTGTCTCGTTCGTACATTTACATACGCGTTTATTGAACTGGCCCTGTGCGATGAATATTCATAGGGTGTCCGCGGAGTGGATTTTTCGAAGGGTAGCCGTCGTTTTAATCGGATCAAGGAAAATGTCTTAACGTTGCGCCGTTTTTGTCTTTTTCGTATGCATAATCGAACGGACTTTTACTTTCGCTTGACAATCACCGGTTCCTCGGAAATTAACGCTGCTCGCTAACCTCACTTTAATGCAAAAATCTTGTTTAAATGATTTTTACTCTTTTTTACTATTCGCACGCTTGAATTAACGCAATAAATTGCGGCGAATGTCGCTTTCGAAAGATATTGTTTAACCGTGTCTTTGCGATTTTGTGACACGAGTGTAACTTGAGAGATAAGAAAAAAAAATAAACCTATGGAACAAAATTTTACAGTTCAAAAATGTTGATAGCTTCTGAAAATATTTTTGATCAAATATAATTCATGAAATCAAAATTTCAGTATGAATGGACAGTAAAAATGAATACAGGTGATTATTAATAGAGTACAAATGCAATTTCAAACCGACTTGAAGAACCTTTCGGGTTTTTTAAATTCGCAATTTGGAGTACTTTATTTGCAAACATTACAGACGATGTTTGCGCCCGTAAAACGAAGTAAATACACGAGACTGCAACATTCTTGCTTACGTAAAAAATCAATAAACTTCTGTAGAAAATGCAAGGAGAAAAGCGGTTTATGCGCGAGACTATAGAGCGAGGCTCTCGTCAATTTGTCAAGCGTGTCGTTTGAGGAACGTAAAAAGGTAACGTTAACCAACGACGCTTTGGCTGAAATTCCGTCCTCGAATAACAGAACACACCCACCGACAAAGGATCAACTGTTCCAGCAGGTACGAAGAAACAACTGTACGAACATGCAAAGTGGGCCTTTTAATGTTTTGTCGCAGCTCATTCTAAATTTACGTGTTGACGCCGACAGCGTGCAAAGAATAAGGGTGAAACGAAACGCGTGGCTACTGGCTGTGTGTTCCGCGTACAGCTGCCCACGGAGAAGGCTGCACGCGCTAAATGCATCTTGCAATTAACGAATTTAATTAATCTGCCGCTTTTGCGCCGCGTAAAACGACAAGAAATAGTTGGAAACGCAATTTGAATGGTCTGGCCTGTACGGCCGCGCATGAAACCACTTTGTGCGTTACGTACCACCACGGGTTTTCATCAGCCTTTACCGGCGTCACCAGAGGGCCGAGATTCCACGCGTTTCGTGCTTATTTCACGCTCAAAGGGGATGCACGTTTCCGCGTCTGCGACTGTCTGTCGCGCTTTCTTGCATCCGTCGCTCGGACACCCTTGCGACCCGCACAAACATCCAGAATTTCACTATTTCCATTTTTAAATCTCTGTAATTTTGCACTTCATCTTATTTATTAATTCCCTGTTGAAGATTATTGTGCGATTCTTTGAAATCTAGAGAATTTTTGGGGATGAATTTTAGATTTGTTCACTGTTAGTTTTGTTCACTTTTTTTTATGATTTTGTTATTGTAAAATTGTCTTTGTAATTATCTTTTGTTATTTCCAACATTTCTCGACAACTACAATTTTCAAGTTTTTGAAACCTAGGGTCTAAATCCTGAAATTCTGCATTTTCGAAATTTTCCAACTCCCAAATTTCCCAAATCCCACATGTCTCAAATCCCACACGTCCCAAATCTCATATGTCTCGAATCCTACATGTGTCAAATCCCACATATCCCAAATTCCACATGTCCCAAATTCCACATGTCCCGAATTCCACATGTCCCGAATCCCACATGTGTCAAATCCCACATATCCCAAATCCCACATGTCCCAAGTCCCACATATCCCAAATTCCACATGTCCCAAATTCCACATGTCCCGAATTCCACATGTCCCGAATCCCACATGTGTCAAATTCCACATGTCCCAAATTCCACATGTCCCAAATTCCACATGTCCCGAATTCCACATGTCCCGAATCCCACATGTGTCAAATCCCACATATCCCAAATTCCACATGTCCCAAATTCCACATGTCCCGAATTCCACATGTCCCGAATCCCACATGTGCAAATCCCACATGTCCCGAATCCCACATATCCCAAATTCTAAATGTCCCAAATCCCACATATTCCAAATCCCACATATCCCAAATTCCACATGTCCCAAATTCCACATGTTCCGAATTCCACATGTGTCAAATCCCACATGTCCCGAATCCCACATATCCCAAATTCTAAATGTCCCGAATCCCACATGTGTCAAATCCCACATGTCCCAAATCCTACACATTCCAAATCTCGCTTGTCCCAAATTCCACATATCCCAAATCCCAAATATCCCAAATCCCACATATCCGAAATTCCACATGTCCCAAATCCCACATGTTCCAAATTCCAAATCTCTCAAATCCCAAATTCACCAATTCCCAAATGTCCCAACTCCCAAAATTCCCAATAACTATATTCCCAAATTTCCACCTCCACAATTCCTCAAACTACCAAATCCTAAATCTCCCAATATCCAAACTAGAACTACGCCTAAGAAACCTTGAAGATCTTACATTCCCTACACATCGTAATACATCACCACTCAACAACGTAACAGTCCTCTTCCTAATTATAACTCCATCAAAATTAACCCTATTCTACCTACCCTAAAGTAGACTATCTAACCTAGACTAGCTTATCTAATCTAAACCTATAACCAAATCTTAAACCGATAAATTCCGTGAAACTGCAATCGAGAAGCATAAATCAGTAACTAGAATATACAATTTAACCTGCATCGATGCTATTCAGTAGTTTGAATAGAAGCCACGTGTCCCTGTAGCGAGAACGACGATGTATCCGAACTGTAATTAGACTAATAAGAACATCGCGTGGACACGTACACGCATGGCCGCTGTTTGGCCAACCAGACACCCTGGCTAAGTGACAGAATACACGTTGCGCGCGTTTTGATTCACAGAGGAGGACTTGATGCACGGGGGTGGTGCGGGTATTGGCGGGGGTTCTATGGTCGGACAGAACTCAATATTTGGGTGCTCGGCTGCAGGACACAGCGGGGTTAACCAGCTTGGCGGTGTTTACGTCAATGGCCGACCATTGCCAGACTCTACGAGGCAGAAGATCGTCGAATTGGCCCACAGTGGTGCTAGACCATGCGACATCTCGCGAATTCTGCAAGTCAGCAATGGATGCGTTTCCAAGATACTTGGCAGGTTGGTCTTTCTTGTATTTTCATTCTTATATTTCTCAGATTTCCTAATTCTTCTTCTTCTTAGATCTATAAGACTTCATTGCTTTTTTAGATTCATAGAATTTATTAATTTTCTTAAACTTGTAGATTTTGTTATTTTGCTTAGATTCGCTGATTTCTTTATTTTTCTTAGATTCATAATATTTCCTCATTTTTCTTAAATCCGTGGATTTTGTTATTTTTTTTGGATTCATGATATTTCCTCATTTTTCTTAGTTCCACGAAATTTCATTATTTCTTTTTTATATCTATGAGATTATTTTTCTTGGGTTCATAAGATTTTGCTATTTTTCTTAAATCCAGAGATTTCATTGTTTCTCTTAGATTCGTAAGATTTCATTATCTTTTTTGGATTCATGAGATTTCATTATTTTTCTTAAATCAATAAGTCTTTATTATTTTTATAGATGCTATTTTTCTTAAATTCATGAGAAATCAGTTTCTTGGATCCACGTTTTTGATTGAATGCTATTTCTTTTGCAGGTACTACGAAACTGGTTCGATCAAGCCACGTGCAATTGGAGGTAGCAAACCGCGCGTAGCAACCACGCCGGTCGTTAATAAGATCGCCGATTACAAACGAGAATGTCCGTCGATTTTTGCTTGGGAGATTCGGGATCGACTTCTGCAAGAGGGTGTCTGCAATAACGACAACATTCCTAGTGTGAGTACCAGTGTAATTATTTGCAAATTTTAAGATTAAACAGACTTCAAGAGATATGCAGAGTGTGACAAATAAAATGTATACACACTTTACTATATTATACAGAATGATTGGAATATCTTGTTTAACGTAAAAAGTGTTTCATTAAAAAAAATACTAAGAGGTTACACACTCTACAATTTTACACACGAAGCAACATAGGTCAAATTATCTATTTTATAGTTACAAATGTCCAAAGTAATCACAGACGTTAAAGTCATCTACTTTTTTCATCATTTTTGTTTCATATTAATATTCATGTGGCGCACCATTTTCAAATTACAAATATTGCAAACGACCATCATCAACGTCAAAGTCTCCTATTCTTGCTATCATTTTCCCGTTTGACATTAATATTCAACACCGGCTATTATCAACATTTCAGTATTGTCGCAAAACAGCGAAGACCCCGAAGTATTGAAAGCATATATTCGTTCGATATCGAAACCACATTCGCAAGGCAGAAATTACCGGGCATTAATCAATCTGAAAAAATTCTGTGCCATTAACCGAAGTCAAAGATATTCAAACTCGGTGAAAAGCTCGCAAGAACGAATTCCAATCGTTCCAGGAGCGCAATTAGCAAATGACCCCGTTCACCCCACGCTTAACCGACAAAAGAAAAGCGCAATGACTCCGCAGGAGACGAATCCCGTGTCGGCGACGCGTTCCAGTCCGGGGGGTTGCTCGATCGGGATGCTCATTCGCTAGACACGTACCCGCTTTGTATGTGGCGGTGGTTTATCAGGGTGCGCACCCTGACGGTCGGTACTTACCCGTCGGATCTGGCCACTCGACCCTAATCAAAGTCTCGTCAATACGATCGCTTGGGAGGGGTAATCGGTCCATTACGCGGACCTCGGCATTGTCCACCCTCGCTTCGCTGATCGCCCTTCTGCGATCTCAAAGAATCCTCTCTTCTGCCGAGCGAACGTCCGTCTTCCAAACATCCTTTCCACCCTCCTGGGTATCGATATTCGACCCCTCTGGTGCCTTCGATCAGACTATTTCCCTAGAACTTGACCGCACGTTCAACTTTTAACACAGGCTCTTCACATATTTCAAGATGTCTCCCATTGTGTTAACAACGAATTTTCTAATACTCAAAGTTACGTCTAAGGTGGTAGAGTCCTAGGTCTGAGACATTAGACTTAGCTTCTTCAAGTTCTCGAACTTTTAACACAGGGTGTACTTCAGATATTTCAAGGTGTCTCCCATTGTGTTAGCAGTAGATGTCTAACACTAAATACATTCTTAACAAGTTACACCTGAGGTGATAGAGTCCTAGGTCTGAGATAGTACAGCTACCTCTAACTTCGAGTTCCTGTGTTCAACAGAACACAGGGTGTACTTCAGATATTTCAAGAGGTCTCCCACTATATTAGCAATGGATGTCTAATACTAAAAACCTTCCTAACAAGTTACATCTAAGCTACAGTCCTACATCTAAGATAGTAGAGCTATCTAGCTTCTTCCACATTCCTCTGTACAACGGAATACTACCCCACGGATGTCTGAAAGGGGATAGCACGCGTACGAGTCGTTATCCGTCGGCTGGTACTCGCTTTTGCCCGGTTACGTAGTCGATGTTCGGAACAGAGGAACGACGGTACCGGTGAGGGTGATCAATCAGTATGTCTGTGTGCACGCGAACGAACGCGACCCTCTGTCGATAGTTATCCTACGTCGTTCGTAAAGAAACATCGAGCTCGTTCCGATGGCACGGTACGTTTCAGCTTTTAACTCGGAGTCTTTATAATGATCAGCGTGGGCAGGCTTGTAAGCGTAGCCGGGACATCAGAGAGGATCGCGATAGAATTGTCCGGTGCTTGTGGAATTGATAGAGATACGTTCTGGGTTGTCGATTGTGTGGCGGTCTTTTGAAATCGGTACCATCAAAATGGGCGTCTGTTTGCTACCCGGGATTGTGCTTGCGAAGAATTACCAATGGTTATAGTAGTTTATCGTCTAGGTATTCTTACTCCCTTCGTGATCGAATAAACTTGACAAGTTCATTCTTGTTGGTCTTTAGAACTATTTTCTTTTTTGGGAATTATTTCTTCTTTGGTAGACCTATTTCCTGTTTTTTATTTTAATATCAATACGTTAGTAGTAGCATACGAAGACTTACACTTGTACAAAGTACACTTGAGTAGAGTAAATGAAGGGTGGTTGCTTTCAGTCATGAGACAATCTTGAGGTGTATCTAACACCCATAAATTTCTACGTTGTAAGTTACTATGTCCTCATAATTCTACATCCACATAGTCTTATCCTAAATTTCTAGATTCCCAAATATTTAGATCATCACATTTGTCATTAAATTTCTAAACCACAAAGCAACCATAGGAACAAATTAAACTGAAATATTTAACAAGCTCATCAATATGTCCTGAAATAAAAATAGCCCACATTTAGCCTACTTCCCCTATTTCCCTGAACCTCAGCGTTCCAAAATCGGAACGTGAGCAAAGTACAAAGAGACGTAGAAAGAAGGGTGTTACCGAATGGCTGTTTCGTAATCTTGGATTTATTCGATGACGACAATTGTCTGGACAATGACAACGACGTTAACGGTAATGATAGCAATGACGATGATGGTAGGTGGTGGTACTGGCGTTGGCTGTTGCGGTGGGTACATATCGTGCGGCAATGGGGTGCGACGGGGTTAGTCGCCGACGAGCGGATGGAAGCGGGTAGAATCAGGGTGAATGGGATCAGTTAAGCGTGTTGCACAATTATTCGTGTCCGGTCGTTATAATGATCAGCGTGGGCAGGCTTGTAAGCGTAGCCGGGACATCAGAGAGGATCGCGATAGAATTGTCCGGTGCTTGTGGAATTGATAGAGATACGTTCTGGGTTGTCGATTGTGTGGCGGTCTTTTGAAATCGGTACCATCAAAATGGGCGTCTGTTTGCTACCCGGGATTGTGCTTGCGAAGAATTACCAATGGTTATAGTAGTTTATCGTCTAGGTATTCTTACTCCCTTCGTGATCGAATAAACTTGACAAGTTCATTCTTGTTGGTCTTTAGAACTATTTTCTTTTTTGGGAATTATTTCTTCTTTGGTAGACCTATTTCCTGTTTTTTATTTTAATATCAATACGTTAGTAGTAGCATACGAAGACTTACACTTGTACAAAGTACACTTGAGTAGAGTAAATGAAGGGTGGTTGCTTTCAGTCATGAGACAATCTTGAGGTGTATCTAACACCCATAAATTTCTACGTTGTAAGTTACTATGTCCTCATAATTCTACATCCACATAGTCTTATCCTAAATTTCTAGATTCCCAAATATTTAGATCATCACATTTGTCATTAAATTTCTAAACCACAAAGCAACCATAGGAACAAATTAAACTGAAATATTTAACAAGCTCATCAATATGTCCTGAAATAAAAATAGCCCACATTTAGCCTACTTCCCCTATTTCCCTGAACCTCAGCGTTCCAAAATCGGAACGTGAGCAAAGTACAAAGAGACGTAGAAAGAAGGGTGTTACCGAATGGCTGTTTCGTAATCTTGGATTTATTCGATGACGACAATTGTCTGGACAATGACAACGACGTTAACGGTAATGATAGCAATGACGATGATGGTAGGTGGTGGTACTGGCGTTGGCTGTTGCGGTGGGTACATATCGTGCGGCAATGGGGTGCGACGGGGTTAGTCGCCGACGAGCGGATGGAAGCGGGTAGAATCAGGGTGAATGGGATCAGTTAAGCGTGTTGCACAATTATTCGTGTCCGGTCGCGCGTGTAATGGTCTGCATCGGTGCTGCGGCTGTTGTGCGGCGGGAGCCGAGTGGAGCGGAGCGTAGAGCGGCTTGCTTGGTTTGATGATGGAAAGCCTAGGCTACAGCTAGCGTAGCTGGCTACCTAGCTACCTAGCTACGCTGCTACGTGCATTTAGTCTGCAAATGTCCTTTTCGTTCTCCCGCAGCCATTATTCCGCGGGATTGAGGCGAATCTTGCGATACGAACTTTCCATCCCCGAGCCACCCAACCCCCTTCTCGCAACTCCCGTCCGATTGATTCCGGTTAAGGAACGTGGTGGCTTGGTCTGCCGCGAAATCGCTTTTCGTTTGTTTGGAACTGCTTCGCGCTGCTTTTCAATAGCTCGCGCAATTTCCTGAGATCATGGAACCGCATTGGTAAGCGACGTGCGTCCATCGCCGGAGATTCGCCTACTGGAAAACAGTTTGTTGCGATACGTAATTCATTACACGTCACTAATTTATCATGTCTTTTAGAAAATGCCACATTTAATGTGAAAGATTTTTGAAACACCAAATCGAAATTCGAGTTGCATGTTCAAGAGGGAATTTGTCTCCTCTACGAGAAATATGACGTTCGAGGGTGAAGTAATTTTCTGCTCGTTGGTTTTGAAGGATTTGTAAGTATTTGCAGATTTGGAGATGGGTTAAATATTTGCAATGATTAGAATTTGTAGGACAAGGTATTTGAAGAGAAAATTTGATTTTCGAAAATTCTTATTGATTGTTTAAGCAGGAGTACTTGATTGCGTTCGATTTTCGCGTCGATTACTCGCGACAAACAAAGCTGACACGCAAAACGTTGGCAGTCGTAGAGATTCTGTTGCCATTAAACAGAAGCACATAAAGGGTGTTTCGCTTATAATAAAGCGTTACTGGAGCTATAGCTATAGAAACCGGTACTCGACTCGATCGATCCCATCGTGTCGCAAACAAAAAGCGCGATTGAATTTATCGGCTTTCATTCGACGTAATAACGCGGGCCCCACTTGACCCAGCCTGGAGCGTACGCAGCACTCGAACCAACAACGTCGTTGGCACCCGACGGCATACAACCATTATTCCTAAGGTCTTAAGTCGAGCCACGCGAGAAGGATCGGCTTTGCACTCGTCGTACCTCTCTCGTCGAACCTTTCAACGAGAAGCCCGTAATTAAGAAGCTTCGCTCGATATCCTCGATCCGCAGGGATCCATGGGAGCAGTGCAGTTCGGGTTATGTTCGACTTGCCGGTGCACCGTCGACAAGTCGATGTTGGGGGTTGAAGAAGAGAGAGAGAAGAGAGAGGGTGGTTGTAGGGTGGTGGTGCAGCGTAGAACAGCGAGACTATTATGTACGAGTCGAGAGCACAAGGCTCGCTCCCGTGGCTCGTTATAACTTTAGAGTTAGCCAGTGGTTCGGTCGCGGTACAAGGTGAAGAAGACTGTGCTACCGTTGGTTAGGGGAGCGAAGAGCCATGGAAACCGTTTTATGTAATAATAATTGGATGGCGGTGTCCTTTCATCTGGGTAGTCTCTCCCTCAACTTGAAGGTCGCTAAAGAGAAAGAGAAAGGAAGAAATCCCGATGGCGGGGGTGGCGAGCGAGAGACAACCGATGTAACTATGGAAATGATTGTCGCGCCACGAGCAAAGAAGTCGGCCGAAACTTTTCAAAGTGCCGTCTCCTTCCTTGCGATCCACCGTTTTTCTTCGTCATTCCGCCTTTAATTAAGCGCGAACGACATTCGAAATTCATGGTAATCGATTAAGCGATTCTTCTCTACCTCTACTTTCCTTGTATTATCTTCAAAGTTCCTGTTCTCCTTAATACACATATGAACTCTTATTACAGAAGTTGTAATATAATTTTGAAATCCCGTAAAAATTTCCAAACAAACTTCTTTCCTAGGTACTCCAATTTTTAAGTTCACAAATCCTCATAAAAGTTTAAAAATCCTAAAATCTCTAAGAAGTCCTCAAATACCTAGACAAACCCTAAATCCTCATATTCCAGAATCGCCAAATCTCTATATCTTTTTGTCTCAACACCAAACTGTAAAATCCTTCAAAGTCAACGAGAGAGATTTACTTCTCGTAATTGTCATATTTTTCTTAAGAAAGGCAGATCTTCATTGTGCGTTTCAAATTGACCAAGCAGAATGACTCGGCGCAGTCGATTCTTCAAAATTTGTCGTCGGTCGAAAAGTATGTTCAAAGCGAGACGCCGATATAGCATCATGGTGACTTGTGCAGCTCTGTGACGGAGATTGTTCGTGATCCGTAGGTGTCGTCCATCAACAGGGTGCTGAGGAACCTGGCCTCGCAGAAGGAGCAACAGGCGGCAGCGGTACAAGCGCATCAGGGTGCCGAGAGTGTCTACGATAAGCTTCGGATGTTCAATGGCCAGGCTGCAGGTTGGCCCCCGGCATGGTATTCGGCTACACCCTCTCATCATCCTCTGGCCACGGGAATTCCAACGGCAGCAACCCCCGGCTCTGGACAGTCCTTGCTACCGGGCAGCCAACTTCACGGTCGCGACGATTCCCTGCTCAAACGAAGCGGTAAGCACTGATACAAGGTTTCTACTAATATACAAGGCGTTTCGATCCACTCGAACATTTTTAAAGAGGTGATACACGAAATGTGTCAGAAGAAAGTTACACGATTTCGGAAAGAAACTTGTGTGGTAAAGGTAGCTTCTAAGCGGATGTGTAGGAAAATCATTTTTGCTACTGATTTGGTAGTATACAATTTTTGATTCTTGGTTTGGTACTATGTAGCTTTAAAACATCGTACCATGACAGTATGGAGTCACTTATGACAAAAGATAGCACGGTGACAATTCTGATATCAACATACAGGGAGTTTTCAACAAATATTGGATTTTTGATAAGGTTCTTAGAAAACAGTCTTCAGCCAACAGTTTTCAGCTCCTTTAACCTCGATGTAAAGCAATTTTTCAACGGTCAAGTGGTCTTGACAAATCAATTGACATTTATGTGACCTATCACATTAGCAGTCTTGCGTCGAGTATATGCAAGAAGAGTAGATTTTTCTGAGAGGTCAAGATCACACAGCGAGAAACAATTGCCCCATTTAGAGTACCTTCTGTTATCGACAATCTTCTGAACGATTTCAATAGTTATGTGATCAAAACTTGTTTTACGGTAAAACGAACAATTCGAATGAATTTACAATTACCTTTGAAACTTTGTTAATTACGAAGTCTAATGGACGCTAATCACGTAAGACGTTTGCCATTTACGTGTCCTTTGTTACATCCATTTTATACTAAATGGGAAGACAATTGTATAAATACTGGTGGCTCAATCGTTACAACATACATCTTACACGAAATAATTAACTTCGTCCATCGATAATAATTATATAAAGAGGGGAATCGTTGATGGAAATAGGTATTTTTAGTTTCTTAGAAATTATTGAATGCGAAGATAAGATTAGTTGCTTTGTAAGGACAGTTATAATGTAACGGTCATGTAACGTATTAATATACGGTCGTTGGTAATTATAGGGCGAGAAATTGAGAGGAGCATTATTAATTTTATAGAAATCCTTAGAAACGAAAATAACGTTAATATTTGCTTTCGTAAGGAGTCAGTTATAAATAACGTTCGGTGTAGTGTTGAAGAAGGTCCTATTTGAAGCTAATAAATGAAATTAGCATTGAGTTGTCATAAATGGATCATCATGTAATGTATTAATAATAATACTATCAAACTATGTACGCTATTCACATCTTCTATTTGAAAAGTGTGCTCAAAAATAGAACATTCCTTCGTAGCTGCATGTCCTCCATGTTGTCATCACTCGACTCTACTAATCAGTCTCTAACAGCATAATTAAATTATACCAAAATGTGTTTAAATACGTTACACCGAATGTTTCAATAGACCGCCGTAGGTAAACGGAATTATTGTCGATGTTCAAAGTGTACGTGCTTCTGGGTATTCTTCTTCTTCCTTTCACGCGTTCGAGAAGCTATAGAATCGAACAAACGTTCGCAGGAATTCGGTCTCAATAGTTGATCCACTTCTTCTCGAGCGTTGGCAGATCCACAATGGTCGAAGGAAGGTAAAAGTCAAGGGAGCACCCTCGAGGGTATTATAATCTGGTGGTACGCGCGCGACACCCTCGCCTTTCTCGTTTTTACGAGTCTTCCACGAACGAACCCTGGCATTGTACGAAGCTATAATTCCACGATACCTCGCGCATCGGTCGTTGCCAGTTTCGACTTTCGAAGAAAGGCATACCTGGTGTCGTTGAATCGAAACGTCTCTCCTAATAGGATCACCGTAATCGGACCCTGCGGTTCGGATCGCGCCCGAAATTGTTCCACCGACGACAATTCCGAGTGTAACCGCGCCCAATAAGCAGATTACAGAAATTATGAACGGTAGATTATTTTCGTCAACGACCAACAGCTCTCCAATTCGAGCGGACACCGGTAGACGGTATCACGGACATAAGTAGTCCAAACCTCAACGGGGCATTTGTCTCAGGGTAAATTACGTATCGCTTTACACTGATTTTAGTTTTACTTTCAACTGCATTATAGATATTAAATACATTGATCATCGCATAATATTGATCGTTAAAATTTTTATCGTTGCATATAAAATATGTGATTATTAATTGTTGCCAATGGATATTTATTTGGAAGAAATTCTTTTATCTACGGTGGTAAATGCTTTTACTCTTCTTGTCAGAGCATGTAACTAATTGATAAGTTGCGAATTGAATTCGAAATGAACCGCATTGCACCGAATCCAACCGCATCCAGTTGAATCCCGTCGAGTAGTATCGAGCTTAATCGCATCAAGTCGAATCATGTCGAATTGAATCGTGTCGCGTCGAATCGCGTCAAATTAGGGAAATTCGTTATCGATGTCGCTTTCCCATCCAGCTATCCGTACATAATAGTGCCCGTGACCTCTTCTTCGGGCATTTGACCTGCCCATCAAATGGGGACACTATTTCTGTAATCCGCATAAAAAGTTGACCGATCTCAAAATTAATAAATTAGCTTAACAATAGTGAACGAAAACCGTAGAAAATCTATGAAACAAAATCTCGTGCGCGTCTAATTGCGACTAGGATCCGATATCCGATCGAAGAGCGTATATCTCGTTTGAAGCCCGTGTACGCGGCGATGCGTCGTCACCTAGAAAATTAAAGCCAACGATCCAGGCTGCGAAACGGACTCTATCCCGAAATCGTCGGTCGTTACGCGGCCAGGAGGGGTGTCAGCGAGAACAGAAAAGGGAATATTCCGTGAGGGTGCGGAGGGGGTGGTCGGTTTCGCTCGAGGGACGAAGAGGTTGCGGGTAGTGTATGTTTGAGGGTGACGGTATTTCGAATCGGCAGAAGGGTACGCGAGAGGCAGTGGGTGGTGGAAAGTGAGTAGGGTGAGAGATTTCGTAGGGGCGAGCGAGGGGGCGGGGAGGGGTTGCGATGCGCGGGAGATGAGCGAACGAGAAAGCGAGCAGCTGACGAGCGGACGATATATAGGTACAGCTAGAAATACATATATACCGCGTAAGGGCAAATATATAGGTAGACGTGGAGCACGGAGGGACGGACACGGGGGCAGAGGGAAAGGGAAATGGCAGGAAGGTATCGGGAGGGATGGAAAGAGGGCGAGGGTTCGGTGCGCAGAGGCGGAAAGTAATCGCGGCTCACCGGGAGCCGACGACGGCTCCGCTTCGCGAGTGTGTGCGTACGCAACCAACACCGGCTGCTATCGGGCGAAGACTGCGCGGATGCCTAGTCCTCGGCTGTCTAGGAATTCCGAGGACATTAGTTGCGCTGCGAAATCGCGGCAACTGGATACCACGGGACCCCAGCTACCCTTAATTGGGATTTTAGTTTTACTTTCAACTGCATTATAGATATTAAATACATTGATCATCGCATAATATTGATCGTTAAAATTTTTATCGTTGCATATAAAATATGTGATTATTAATTGTTGCCAATGGATATTTATTTGGAAGAAATTCTTTTATCTACGGTGGTAAATGCTTTTACTCTTCTTGTCAGAGCATGTAACTAATTGATAAGTTGCGAATTGAATTCGAAATGAACCGCATTGCACCGAATCCAACCGCATCCAGTTGAATCCCGTCGAGTAGTATCGAGCTTAATCGCATCAAGTCGAATCATGTCGAATTGAATCGTGTCGCGTCGAATCGCGTCAAATTAGGGAAATTCGTTATCGATGTCGCTTTCCCATCCAGCTATCCGTACATAATAGTGCCCGTGACCTCTTCTTCGGGCATTTGACCTGCCCATCAAATGGGGACACTATTTCTGTAATCCGCATAAAAAGTTGACCGATCTCAAAATTAATAAATTAGCTTAACAATAGTGAACGAAAACCGTAGAAAATCTATGAAACAAAATCTCGTGCGCGTCTAATTGCGACTAGGATCCGATATCCGATCGAAGAGCGTATATCTCGTTTGAAGCCCGTGTACGCGGCGATGCGTCGTCACCTAGAAAATTAAAGCCAACGATCCAGGCTGCGAAACGGACTCTATCCCGAAATCGTCGGTCGTTACGCGGCCAGGAGGGGTGTCAGCGAGAACAGAAAAGGGAATATTCCGTGAGGGTGCGGAGGGGGTGGTCGGTTTCGCTCGAGGGACGAAGAGGTTGCGGGTAGTGTATGTTTGAGGGTGACGGTATTTCGAATCGGCAGAAGGGTACGCGAGAGGCAGTGGGTGGTGGAAAGTGAGTAGGGTGAGAGATTTCGTAGGGGCGAGCGAGGGGGCGGGGAGGGGTTGCGATGCGCGGGAGATGAGCGAACGAGAAAGCGAGCAGCTGACGAGCGGACGATATATAGGTACAGCTAGAAATACATATATACCGCGTAAGGGCAAATATATAGGTAGACGTGGAGCACGGAGGGACGGACACGGGGGCAGAGGGAAAGGGAAATGGCAGGAAGGTATCGGGAGGGATGGAAAGAGGGCGAGGGTTCGGTGCGCAGAGGCGGAAAGTAATCGCGGCTCACCGGGAGCCGACGACGGCTCCGCTTCGCGAGTGTGTGCGTACGCAACCAACACCGGCTGCTATCGGGCGAAGACTGCGCGGATGCCTAGTCCTCGGCTGTCTAGGAATTCCGAGGACATTAGTTGCGCTGCGAAATCGCGGCAACTGGATACCACGGGACCCCAGCTACCCTTAATTGGATCGCTCTCCTCGAGCCAAGCGGCGGAAAGTTCGAATGGCAACGGTCGGGTCGTCGAATCGCCCTCTTCCGAATTTTCTCCGCTTCCTCGCGGACCTCCGAAGCTCCTACGCTCGCTAAATTAGCTGCGCGTTCCACGGTTAACGAGAGAATAAGCCCAAGCTTGTTCCTTCGACGCCGATTACGATGTTCCATGGGAATTCGCGCAAACTTTGGCTCGTCTTAACTTCGGGAACGGTGCCTTTGCTTTCTTGCACGGGGTACAACTTGTGACTTTGGGTAGGCATGTTTGGATTGCTCGAACAGAGTCGAATCGTTACTGCGGTCCCGTTCAATCGGTGCTCGTACGTAGGGTAAACGGAATGGAGGATGACAGGATAAAATTTCCTGGTTACGTCTCTCGACGGTTTTACTCATAAGAACTGCGTATTAAACTTCCCCGAACATGTTAGCGGTACCGAACCTAATCTTCTTGTGTAACAAGCATTTATTCAGAGTTGGAAAGATTGCACATGAGTCTGACTCTTTATTTACATATTTGTTGCATCAACTGCGTGATTGGTCTAAGCAATTAATAGTATTCATTGAATCGTATAACTATAGAGGAAAAGCTGATACTTCTTTCCAGTTCTGATCAATATGTATTTACATATATAGAAACGATCGGAGGATCACACATTAGCCCGTGACTTAATGACTAACAGTACTTATGACGAAACTCGATATTACAGTTGAAGACAATGATGGTAATTTGTTTGACATTGTTTTCGTTCATATATGCTTTCAGACACCGGCTCTCTGTTGTCGCATCAGCAGGAAACAACGTCGGACGGCAATTCCGAGCACAATTCATCCGGCGACGAGGATTCGCAGGTTCGACTGAGGTTAAAGCGGAAGCTGCAACGTAATCGAACATCGTTCTCCAACGAACAGATCGACAGCCTGGAGAAAGGTTAGTATTGCACCCCTTTTTGATACAGTTTCAAAAGTTACGCTGAAAGTTTCAAGAATCACGATGATATTTGCAAAAGGAGTAAGGTTGTAAAACCAGCATATATGGTTATTACGGTAAAAAAGAACGAATCAAATTGAGTTTAATTATATTTAGAGTAAACTCCTTAATTCTTAAAGCTTGTAGCGTGACATCTGTTTCCTAACATTTTACTCCGTGCTCATTCGTTCGGCATCATTTTACGACATTTTTCACGATTCATGAAACGACAAGGGAAAAATGCGCGCATCTTCAGCTTTTTTCCGATCGAGCGCACATAATTCCAATACGTGTGCAACGTATTCAGACGAACGAAATAAATTGCTGCTTTTCCTCGAAATATCGGTCTCTCCCGGAAGCACGAGCGACCGGTAGAACTGCTTTAATTGGATCCGCGACCATTCAAGTCGGTCGACGTTCGAGTATCGTTGATAATTATCCTTTTAATCTGGTCCCGCGGTGAATCGAAATTATGCGCGATTAATACAGAATTATATACGAGCGTGTATTACCGACGCGTTGCCCGCACACGTACATAAACGTAGGTGTATCCGGAGCGCGAAACACACCAGGCGACCCACCGGAGGCACGTTTAATAACGAGCACTTGTTGCAAACGGGTTTCGTTTTAGAATTCGAGCGGACACATTACCCGGACGTGTTTGCACGGGAGCGTCTCGCCGAGAAGATTGGATTGCCTGAGGCACGTATCCAGGTGAGTGTGAATGTGCGAATGCGGCGTGTGCCTCCTCTTTCTCGTTCGCTCCACCCACCTTTTCTCTCTCCTCTTTCCCTTTTTCCTTCTCTGCTCGATGTCTCTCCCTTGTTCTCTTCGCTCGTTTTTTTTCTGCCCCTCGCTTCGGCTCCTTCTATCCTAGCCCTCTCTTCCGCTTTCGACGTCTTCTCCCGTGGCTGGCTGCTCCTGAAGAGGGCGGCTGGTAAGTGCGACGACGCCCTTTCGGTTAAACGCTTTAAACGCGTGACCACGGTACGTGGGGACGTTAAACACCTTCGACGACTGGAAATCCGTGAGCACGGACCACCTCGGGGATTTTATCTTCCCACTGGTCTTCCCGCTTTCCTTTTCTCTTGGCCTCTTTTACGTCTTCGCGCGACACCCGCTACTTCGCTCTTCGAGATTCCCTAGCTACGGTCAAACATTCTTTCGATCTTCTTCCAAGCTTTGCACGATGGTTCCTTCAATTTTTCTCGTGACGTCCATTACTTCGGATTTCGCGTGTTAAAATCGGAGATGGTCAAGTTTTGAAGCAGGATTCTCCAGGTTTGGCAAGCTATTTCCACTCTCCGTGTTACTTGTCTAAGTAGGTCTGATCTACTCATGACTTGCCTTCTGTATTCTCTGTAGTGTACTTAATGCGACCGCGTCATCAGAGACCGTTTAGTTTACGCAAGTATCGAGAGACAAGTGTAGCGAACAAGTAACCAGAACTGCCCAAGTACACAAAGACTGAAGAAGACAGCGAAGCAGTCTATCCGCTTCTAGATTACATGCTTGGCCACTTAAGGATTTACACTATACTGTGATAGGCAAATGGCCTGGTAATCCAACGGGATGACGTTCCACATCTTACAAACTATCCGATTTATTTGTGACTCTATTTACTTGTCTGTTGCACTTGTCTAGTGCAAAGGTATTTTTAATGAAGTGGTCCATGTAACCTAGAAGTGAAGAGATAATCTGCTAGATGCGAACAAGTAGTACAAGATTCTAAAAGGCAGGCCTAGCAGACAACCTTCCACACTCTGACTGTTTACCTCACACTACTTGTCTGGTCTAAACGACTCCTAAAGACGCGTTTACATTAAGGCACGTTTACATTAAGACACGTTTACGCTATGGTAGCGCAGCAGGCAAGTTGCCAGGCCCACCCAAGCAAGTAACCCAGGCGCATGGAAGATGGCCTGTTAGGTTTGGCAAAGACTATCATCTTCGTTGTCGAGATACTTGGCTGACCACATGTCTGTGGTAACGTGTGTTAAGGATTACCAGGGATAGCCAGGCTAACTTCGGACAGGGAGATCATGGTCAAGTATGGAGGCAACGCTGCGGATGCAACGTTGGTATGGCCAGTGGTAGCGAAGTGTATCGCAATTAATTAATATAACATCGATGGTTGTTCGAGCCATGGGGTGACGTGTACGAGCTAATATGTACGCAGCCTTATCGAACATTGTTTGGCCGCGCCGTGCCGTTGGCTCGGCCTGTGTTCGACCCTCTCTTCCAAGCTTTGCACGATGGTTCCTTCAATTTTTCTCGTGACGTCCATTACTTCGGATTTCGCGTGTTAAAATCGGAGATGGTCAAGTTTTGAAGCAGGATTCTCCAGGTTTGGCAAGCTATTTCCACTCTCCGTGTTACTTGTCTAAGTAGGTCTGATCTACTCATGACTTGCCTTCTGTATTCTCTGTAGTGTACTTAATGCGACCGCGTCATCAGAGACCGTTTAGTTTACGCAAGTATCGAGAGACAAGTGTAGCGAACAAGTAACCAGAACTGCCCAAGTACACAAAGACTGAAGAAGACAGCGAAGCAGTCTATCCGCTTCTAGATTACATGCTTGGCCACTTAAGGATTTACACTATACTGTGATAGGCAAATGGCCTGGTAATCCAACGGGATGACGTTCCACATCTTACAAACTATCCGATTTATTTGTGACTCTATTTACTTGTCTGTTGCACTTGTCTAGTGCAAAGGTATTTTTAATGAAGTGGTCCATGTAACCTAGAAGTGAAGAGATAATCTGCTAGATGCGAACAAGTAGTACAAGATTCTAAAAGGCAGGCCTAGCAGACAACCTTCCACACTCTGACTGTTTACCTCACACTACTTGTCTGGTCTAAACGACTCCTAAAGACGCGTTTACATTAAGGCACGTTTACATTAAGACACGTTTACGCTATGGTAGCGCAGCAGGCAAGTTGCCAGGCCCACCCAAGCAAGTAACCCAGGCGCATGGAAGATGGCCTGTTAGGTTTGGCAAAGACTATCATCTTCGTTGTCGAGATACTTGGCTGACCACATGTCTGTGGTAACGTGTGTTAAGGATTACCAGGGATAGCCAGGCTAACTTCGGACAGGGAGATCATGGTCAAGTATGGAGGCAACGCTGCGGATGCAACGTTGGTATGGCCAGTGGTAGCGAAGTGTATCGCAATTAATTAATATAACATCGATGGTTGTTCGAGCCATGGGGTGACGTGTACGAGCTAATATGTACGCAGCCTTATCGAACATTGTTTGGCCGCGCCGTGCCGTTGGCTCGGCCTGTGTTCGACCCTCTTGCTATCCGACCGCCCTCCCTCACCTGGCTCACCCCGGGATATAGGGGGTGGTGAAGTGGCCGGCGGGCTTTCGCGTCGATGGTAGTAACCGGGCGCTGAGCGTTATGTGGACGTACAAACAGTGCAAGACCATGTTGACGCATGTTTTCAAGCCTCGTTGGCTGGTATTGATCTTGCTAAGTGCAGGAAACCGGGAGTGCCGGTGCGAGAGGCAAAGGCAGAGAGAGAAGGAGGATCAGCGAGCGAAAAAGGGGGAGAGACAGGGAGTAAGAGAAAGGGACAGTGAGCGAGAGAGACTGCGAGATAAACGGAAAGAGAGAAGGAGAAGGAAAACAGGGGGGGAGGGAGTAGAAAGGAATCGTTCCACCACCGGACTCGAGCGTCGTCGTCGGACAAACGAACAAACGGAGGAGGAAGGAGAACGAACAGACGAGTAGCTGAAGCTATGGGGTAAAACAAAGCTTGGCGTGGTAGGACATGGCATGGTATGGCGTGGCACGGACTCTCGCCGACACGGCACGCCAGGGAACGTTACGAAACGCCACATCGCGCCGTGGTATATCCCGAGCCAGTTGTGAGGGATCCAGCAGACGGCCTAAGAGGGTTCGAACGCAACCATGGCAACGTCGAGTCCCCAGGGAGGTTGCCCTCTGATTGGTTGTTCCTCGCTTTTCCACCTATACCTTGAATACTCGCACGAGTTTCGCCATGCCGCGCAATACTGCCGTTGCCCGATTATCATCTATGGCGTTGGACAGATCATCCATGTGCGCCATGGCCAACTATCCGCGATCCCTCAAAGATCACTCGTTCTGCTATCAAATCTCAGCCTGTCTTCGAAAACTTTCGCTATCCATTTTCTATTTTAACATGGTAGAACGACGAACAATTTAATCATTTGTATCATTCTGCCTCACATGCATCATCTCTAAATTTGGACATATGCAAATTTGCTCCAAACCACTTCGTGCCTGTAATAACAATTTTCTCAAGTAGTTCAAATTTGTCACAACTTGCTTCCCGTTTCTCTTGAAAATATATGCCAAACAAGAACAAGAAAATAACTTGAAACAAAACCGCTGTAACTTCGAAATTCAAAAAGTGTTTCACAAAGTATCGAGGTAAAAAGAACGCACGAAAACTTTGAGGACTTTCAACGATCTACTTGGAGCGTCGAAAAATATCCCGCAAATAAGGGAAGTAACGAGAGTCGATGGGAGAAGAAAGTAGATGAGCGAAGCATCGAGACGGTGGGTTTCGTGGTAGAATCTCCTTAAAATTCGCGTGAGACGCCATCTTCTAAACATTGCCAATCAAAGCAGAAGGTACGCGTTCGCCGTGAAGGACGGGAACGGTGGTGAACCGGGTTCGTGGAATTCCGAATGGATCGATTCAAACGAGTTTTCGGGACGTGGTAGGACGAGTTTACGAGGAACGACGGTATTGGGCGAAAGGAGCCTCGCTGCCGGCGAATGGTGGAATATTTGCCGGTGGGGTGCTAGAACACGATTTGCTACGTCGCTGGCAGGATGAAATTTATTTTATTTGTTTTTCTTCGTGATTCAATTGAAGGCCGCCGGGTGTGCACTGTTCAAGATCAAGTTTCGCCACGGACTAAATAATCCTGAATTTTCTTCGGCGACCACGGTGGTCCCGTGTGATCATTCTTTACCTTCAAACAAATTGAAAACTTTCGTCCTTGAATATTGAACCCGAGAATTCGTTAGATCTATCCCATTTTACTTCGCACGTACACTTTTTGAATATTACTATTTTTATTGTTTGTGGTATAATTTAATCTGGAACGGTTAAATCGTATGTATACGTTGTGATCAAGGTTGAAAATGATGGACATATTCGCTTTGTGGAGATCCTTGAATTTTTTTCGAATTTCTTGAAACGTTTTGAGACACTTATATTACCTATACAATTCTTGTTAACTGACGATTATAAATGAGTCAGTTCCAACTATCAGTTACGACGTACAAATAGCGGAGGAAAATACATGTTATCATGTGATGAAACATAATGTTCGAGGCATAATGTCAATTAAGCAATGTCAAAGTGTAAAGAAAAATCAGAAAAGTATCATCGCTGACAGATTTCCTCAAAGATTTCTCACGCGAGTTCCGAAGATGGTCATAATAACCTGTAACCTGGAACATCGTATCGGAGCTTAAGTTCTTTGTCGCGCTTTCACGGATTTCCTGATTTCCAAGATACCTCGTCGCTATAAGAGGATTCTCTCCCTTCGATTTGTCGATTTCCCCCGCTCCCGAATCGCTCGTGGCATAAACACGCTTCAGATTACATCGTAATTTTTCCCTCTGATGCGTTCCGTCATTCTTCGCTCCCTCCAAATTTATCCCGCAATCGAATTTTGCCGAATATCCATTCCACCACCCCCTCCCGAAAAAAATACAAGAGCAAAAAGAAAAACAGAAACAGCCAAGCTGTTTCATAATTCAACAAATCGATTGCTCGGCTCATTTGCACGAAGGAGAAAAAAACAAACTGCAACGAGCACATTTTGATTTACAACCGGTGCTTTATTAATAGCCGACAATCGCTACGTCGGCTATTTCGCTCGCGAAAAGCGCTCAACGTTTTCACGGTAATGAGAATAACGATATAAAAATTCGATGGCCAACAATGAGCGCAACTTTCTCAATTACCATACGCCGGCGAGGACGCTAACAATGCGCGAGTGGAACGCAGCCAACGGCATTATTCCCCTCGATTCTGCCGCTAATTTGTATGCATTCGGTCGAGTTATTGATGAAACGAAAAACATAATCAGAAAAAGCCAGGGAACAAAAGCTGAGCGAAAAAGGGAACAACGGTTTACCTGGCGATTATCGGATGTTGTAAAGATATACCTTGTATTTCGAACCAATTCAGAAACGTTTTAAACCTTTAACTACAATTTTTTCCGAGGGTAATTTTGGGATTTTGGATGTTCAAGTTTTCGATGTTGGGTGAGGAGTTTGTCATTTGAGAATTTGGAAATTAGCTTGTACGAATGGACCCCTTTCCTGGTATCGCTTTTACCTTTCCAAACAATGGCGTGTTCGTTGACGGCATTTCTGTATAGAAGCTTACTATTCTCCATAGCGTAGAACTATTCTCGACGCCCGAAAACGAGCGTTTGCCGAAAAAATATAGGAAAAACAAAACGAGATGCAGCGTCGGTGAAAAAGAGAGAAAGAAACGGTGTGGAGTGCAGCGGGAGTAACTCAATTTCCCGTCCGACAACTGCTCAATCGCAATTAACAAACTGCAGGAGAGTCTCGTGCAAACTCGCCTGTGGGCCCCGGTTTTTCTAGGAGGTAGAAAAAAGTATCTAGATTTCGCGTTGCAGCTAGGTGGTCGAGAATAGAAAAGAGAGAGGGGTGGTAGAAAAAGCGGAGAGCAAAGGAGAAAAGGGGCGAAGGGAAAGGACGGTGGAGCAGAAAGGGTGGAGGAGGATAGAATGGTAGTAAAAATGGATGATTGGAGGAGGAGAGAATGAAAGAAAGGTGCGGGAGTAGGCGACAAGTGTGAAAGTAGAATGAGCGCGCGAGAGTGCGAGGATGGATAGGTGCGGATAATGCGAATACATCGCGCGGAGTGACGCCCTTATCGTGACAAAAGCACCGTCATTGCGTCGGTTGCAGGTGTGGTTCAGTAATCGCAGGGCGAAGTGGCGCATTCTTCGCTCCCTCCAAATTTATCCCGCAATCGAATTTTGCCGAATATCCATTCCACCACCCCCTCCCGAAAAAAATACAAGAGCAAAAAGAAAAACAGAAACAGCCAAGCTGTTTCATAATTCAACAAATCGATTGCTCGGCTCATTTGCACGAAGGAGAAAAAAACAAACTGCAACGAGCACATTTTGATTTACAACCGGTGCTTTATTAATAGCCGACAATCGCTACGTCGGCTATTTCGCTCGCGAAAAGCGCTCAACGTTTTCACGGTAATGAGAATAACGATATAAAAATTCGATGGCCAACAATGAGCGCAACTTTCTCAATTACCATACGCCGGCGAGGACGCTAACAATGCGCGAGTGGAACGCAGCCAACGGCATTATTCCCCTCGATTCTGCCGCTAATTTGTATGCATTCGGTCGAGTTATTGATGAAACGAAAAACATAATCAGAAAAAGCCAGGGAACAAAAGCTGAGCGAAAAAGGGAACAACGGTTTACCTGGCGATTATCGGATGTTGTAAAGATATACCTTGTATTTCGAACCAATTCAGAAACGTTTTAAACCTTTAACTACAATTTTTTCCGAGGGTAATTTTGGGATTTTGGATGTTCAAGTTTTCGATGTTGGGTGAGGAGTTTGTCATTTGAGAATTTGGAAATTAGCTTGTACGAATGGACCCCTTTCCTGGTATCGCTTTTACCTTTCCAAACAATGGCGTGTTCGTTGACGGCATTTCTGTATAGAAGCTTACTATTCTCCATAGCGTAGAACTATTCTCGACGCCCGAAAACGAGCGTTTGCCGAAAAAATATAGGAAAAACAAAACGAGATGCAGCGTCGGTGAAAAAGAGAGAAAGAAACGGTGTGGAGTGCAGCGGGAGTAACTCAATTTCCCGTCCGACAACTGCTCAATCGCAATTAACAAACTGCAGGAGAGTCTCGTGCAAACTCGCCTGTGGGCCCCGGTTTTTCTAGGAGGTAGAAAAAAGTATCTAGATTTCGCGTTGCAGCTAGGTGGTCGAGAATAGAAAAGAGAGAGGGGTGGTAGAAAAAGCGGAGAGCAAAGGAGAAAAGGGGCGAAGGGAAAGGACGGTGGAGCAGAAAGGGTGGAGGAGGATAGAATGGTAGTAAAAATGGATGATTGGAGGAGGAGAGAATGAAAGAAAGGTGCGGGAGTAGGCGACAAGTGTGAAAGTAGAATGAGCGCGCGAGAGTGCGAGGATGGATAGGTGCGGATAATGCGAATACATCGCGCGGAGTGACGCCCTTATCGTGACAAAAGCACCGTCATTGCGTCGGTTGCAGGTGTGGTTCAGTAATCGCAGGGCGAAGTGGCGTCGAGAGGAGAAATTACGGAACCAAAGGAGAGCAGCCGTCGATCAGGTAGTCGGCGGCGGTAGCAGCGGTGGAAGCAGCAGCACCGCACCCCCGGCTGCAACCCCTGCCACCCCACGGTTACCCTTAAATGCCGGATTCAACGCCATGTACTCGTCGATACCGCAGCCGATCGCTACGATGCCTGACACTTACAGGTAATTATTCTTTCGACGCTTCATTTTCTTCAACCCCTACTTCAACAGATTTAAATCCTTCAGGATTATCAAAATTCGCAATTCTTCTTCTTAAACAAGTATTAAAAACAAAATAAAATTGCTTTCTGTATGAAATTTAATTTATAAAACGAGTTTTTGACCACGTGACACTGTCAAGCGACATGTGGTTCAGATTATATTAAGAATTTTTTTAATAAAAATCATAAAATGGCATACTGCTGTAACCTCTTCGTATTTATCGGGATTCAGTATTTATAGGATTTAGTGATTGGATTAGAATGTTACTTGAAATTGTAGAGATTTGCAGATAAGAAGTATAATCTAAATTCTCGAAACAATTTCTGTTACGTACCTTCGTGATTTATATAACGTTCGAATATAATTTATACAGCCATGAACCCTTGACAAAATATAAAATTCCTGAAATTATTAAATAATTATATCAAACGACTTGCAAAGTCGTACTGCGAAAGGAAATACGTTCCCCAAAAAAATATATCTACATAAAATCCCTTTACCGATCGAGAGGTTGTACGTCAGAGTCGTAATAGATCGCGAGCGTAAGAGATCGTTATCTACGTAGAAGCCGTTCTTCCTGGAAGAGGGCAGAAAAAGCTCGTCTGGCAAAGCTCGCGAGATCGTTTGACGGAAGTCGTTTCGAGATCCCATGGAATCGCGGAGATTGGCCTCCTCCGGTTAGCATTTTCCTCTGACGCGGATCCGTTTTCTCGCAGCTCGATGTCAAGCAGCTTGGGCGGGTCAATGGGTGGAAGCTGTCTTCAGCAACGCGCCGAGGGATATCCAGCGTATGTGTTCCACGAGCCTCTTCACTCGTTGACGCAGTCTTACTCCCATGCACACAGCACTGCTGCGCACTCGCAACCCCATCGCGGTATACCGACCTCTCATGGTGGAACCCCCACTACACCCGGAGGACAGCCTGCAGGACCAGGTGGTGCACCCTACCAGCCGACGACCTCGACCGCTACTGGTGAGTTTCCGCTTAAGGATTGTTTGTTTGTTCTTGCTGAATCTTCAAGGCCGTCTACCGGTACCCGCTTCGTCGCCACCTCTGCTTACGCGTTAATCAAGGTCGCTTGCAACCTTGTCTGCGCGCCCTTTTCGAAACTACTGCGTGCTGTTGATTTCTCCTTACTGGCTCTTCATTACGCGTGATTAATTACACAAGGTGCTTCGCTTTTATCCAAGGTATCGGTCGACTTTATAAGATCCCAAAATTTACTTATTTGATTCTGCATTACTGGATAAAGTGATCATCAAGGTGAAATTCGAATGACAGATTCACTTTATCAGCGATGCTCTGTATTTATGAACGACAATTTGAACAACTTTGGCAGACATGACTGATGAATCAAACACACCTGTAGCATTTTTATTATAAGCTTATAATAAAACATTTATGACCCTGTGTCTATATAACATGTTCCTTAATCATAGAATATGCTGGCATCAATTATCGATGCAAAAGTGAAACAGCCTGTGTATCAATTTGAAATTCAGAGGGTTCTAATCTTACTTTTTAGAAAGACATGCATATACGTCATCAAACATAGATCCATCTGAGTTTACGCATACATGCAATATCAAAATCGAATAATCTTACAAATTCTGCTTTGCTACGAATTTCTTTGCTAACGTTTACCTTAAAATTATCGAACTTCGCCACAACGCACTCGACATGCAAGTACTGTAAACAATGATTCTTAGTCGGTGAAAAGCTTCGAGAGCGATGCTTCACTTTCGAGCCCCAGGAAGATAAAGTCGCGAAACGGTAACGTGAAACGCGACGAAAGGAGCAGAAAATTTCGATTCGTATCGCGTGCTCGCGCCACTCGACGCGTGTCGAGTTTGCGGAACACAGACTTCCCGTTGAAACATACTCATTCTGTACCATTGAAACTGTCGCTTGATTACACACACTCGAGAATTCCGAGCGCGCAACCGTGAACAGACGATGAAAAAAAAGGAAGAGGAGCACGCGCGTCATTGCGAGAAACTAGTTACCGTGCAGCAAACGACACGAGTGGAAAATTCGTTTAGTTGACGCAAGGAAGTTTGTTCCGTCCGGAGATACGATTGAAGCGTACGATTGACGCGGAAAAACAGAAAATAAATTTTCACACGTTCATGTTTATAACAACTGTGCGCTTGTTTCTTCTTTTCGCCGATATTTGTCTCGTACGAATATGCGCGTACCTCGTTTGAGCATCAGTTTGCCGCCAATTTGAACAATTGAGACAATTTAACAAAATTTTATGTTTTGGTATTTTGACATAAATTACAGATATAACACATTAGTACATTAACAAATGTAGTATATTGGTACATTAATAGATGTAATATATTAGTATCAGAAATGTATTTCACGTGGTATTCGATTTGCCAGTGGTAGTCGTAACAGGGTCGATCACAGGGGGATGCTGCGGTCGCAAAGCGCCAGTCTGTACAAAAGCTCCATAAAAAGGAAAAAGTACCCGTAACTACGTTTCCGTTTGACCCTGCACAACTCCGAAACTTGGTGCTACAAATGTTCGCGTCGGTCCTTTACTACAGGTTTCCACCCCGTAACCAAGGTTAACCAGATTTGGAAGCTGGCTGTGATACTCGCGAAATTGTTCGTTCCTCTTTATCGGCGTTGCCTGCACAATATACACCTCGAGGATTGCTTAGTAACCTCTTTACACGAAATCTACGTAGCGGCACTCTCGAGGGATGTTATCCAAGGGTTTCGCGGTACGAGATGGTCGAGACGCGGTGCACAGGCACGTGGGTCGTTTGTCCACGGAATTGTAAAAGGATTTTAAAACAAATCTCGTGTGGCGCCAGCAGGCTGAATCGAAGAATGGGTTGTTCGGTGGTTACCCGCCCCCTCTCGACCGCGTAGCTGCTGAATTTTCCATTTTCTCGATTCTCACTTTCTCCGACCACCCCCTACAGTCGGCTCTTTCTTGCTCGCGTTTCTTTCCGCGTCGACTTTCCGTTCTCCTTCTTCGGCGACCCTCTTCTTTCTCGTTTAACGAAAATTGTGGAGACCGGAGCCTCCTCCTTTCGGCAGCCTCTCCTCCTTCGTCCAGCTTTCGATCTTTCTCCTTCTTTGTCGGATCGGTTCGCACGGTCTCTGTCGTGGCGGCTCTTCCTCTCTTCAGGGTATACAGGAGGGTGAACAGAGGATGTGGATGGGTTGGGTCTCGCCTCGGCTGGGCGAGCGCTCAATAACGTGCGAACCCAAAGGGGAGGAAATACGGGGGTGCGCGGCGTATCTACAGGAATGGAGTGGAACGCCGTAGAATGGTGGAATACTGCGGAACACGCGCGGCATTCCTCTTGTCTTTCTCTCTCTTTCTTTCACCCTGCCATAACCGGTTGCCTTCTTTCCGCTTTTCCCTTCGCTCTCATCCGCTCCGCTCAGCCCTGTTCCTCGTTCTCGCTTCTTACGTGCGGAACGAACCGCAACTTATCCATCATAATCGTTTTACGTGCATGAGCGCCGGGAACTTTCACCGTGTTCCTCTCGTTACCGTCGCCGTCTTCGTCGCTGTCCCGTCTGCTCATTGCCCTTATAGTGACGTATCGTTTTCGAGGTATGCGCGCTTCATCTGTCCGATTATAGCGACCTGTATCGACGAGCTAACACGGCTTGTCGGTTTCGTTGCCCCGGTAATTTGTCCAACGATCTGCTGTGGGATCTGACCCGTTGAGTGGATGTCCAAGAACCTCCATTCTTCTTATCTTTTTGTAATTTCAAGATGTAGTTTGTACAATCTTTGTTGCGTGACGAATGAAATACTTGTAATCACTAATAAAAGTTTCAGTCGCGTATGTTTAGATCTTTGATTACTTATTTATGTGTTGAGTGGTACATAGCCTTGTTTCATGCAATACTGCTGGTGTTGTTCGTTTTAAGGGAGACTCATAAAAAGCATTCTTTCTACTACATATTACACCTTGTAAAGGTCTATCACTTTGTGGTTGAGTTAAAAGTATTGACTACCACTCTTTTCGTGACAATTATAGTCTTTGTACTATTGCATGGATGAATTGTATAAATCTGTCTAACCATGTCTAATCTGTCTAAAATGTCCAAAAATCGGTCCAGCACAGAACTTGTTAATAATAAGCCAAAATATTAAATAAAATGCATGATCATGAAATAAAGAGAAACTCATCAAATATGTTTCAGGTGTAATATCAGCTGGCGTCTCGGTGCCGGTACAGATCCCCTCTCAAACCCCAGATTTGACCGGTAACTATTGGCCGAGGCTTCAGTGATCCCAGCTCTTCGGGTTCCCGCCCGCGAGCTTGCTCGTCGGGCAGGAGAGCCCGCCACCACCGACAGCCACCCCTGGTGCAGTGCCACGACCGCTCCTGGCGTCCCTAGGGCTACCAACGCAGCCAACACCGCACCAACCATCGAACACACCGGCTACCACTCCTGTGCACACCTCCGACACTAGTGAGTGAATCACCGATCAATCTCTCTGAACGCTCTCTTTTTCTCAATTAACGAAGATGATGGTTCTCGCGCGCGCGGTTACTCGACGACGCCGACGACGATCTCTGTTCGTCGCCGTACGACGAATCGCTGACCTCGATCACTGCGTTTCACCGCGAACTATGCGACAACGAAGACACGCGTCCGATGCTGAATTTAAGAATCACGAGATCAACATATTATAACGATTAACCCACGAATGATGGAAGAGGATCTATTGTGACACTGTTATGCAAATTTTTATGTTTTAATTCGAGATGAGCAATTATGCTTAAGGGATTGTATTTGTAGACACCCGTAGATAGCTAATTTTTTAATTTGGAAATGTGGAAGCTTGACATTTCTTAAATTTCCAAAATCCCAAATACCAAATTCTTAAATTTCACAATCCTCAAATCTCCAAGTTCCTAAATTCCCATTTCTCCAAACACCCAAACTTCCAATTTCCTAAATTTCAAAATCTATAATTCCTCAAATTTTCAAATCTCTAAATACCTAAATTTCGAAACTCCCAAACTCCCATAAAACCAAAGAATCGAGTAAGTAAATTTTCTATTTTGAATGATACTTCGAGTCAAAAAAGATTCCCTTCTGCCATTCGAGGGTTAATAATACGGGCGAAATAAAATCAGTTGTGTCGTTTATTCGGTGATTCGGTTAGAACGTGATTTGTTAATTTAATACACGTTCTCTAACGAAGGTTTTTGAACAACGTTGAAAATTATTAGGTTGCTTGTAATTTTCTTTTTAGGTCAAAGAGAAACGAAACTTTTAATTTGTATCGTTGGCTTGCTAGAATCATGACCCAGTTGAGGAAAGTAAATTTTGATTTTTAATTACACGGCTATTTAATGCCGGAAGTATTAGTTTTTTCTTCTTTAAAAGGTAACTAATAGTTTTCAATTTTTAGTAGAATACTTGAAAAATATTTATCGATCAAGACAAATTTCTTATTAAAAATGTTTCCGTCTACAAGTTCTCGATAACGAAAAGATTAAACGGATGAAGTTCAGAAACCTGTTAAAGGAACGATGCAACAGGAGTTTAAAAATAAAAGAAACAAAAGAGGAAAGAAGCGTTAACGAGCTTGCTTTAATTCGATTAATTACTCCCTGGAAGTTCGCCAAATCTCACGAAACGAACTGACACTGCTGATCGCTACTTTCGCTGACCAAAAAACAACGGCACACCTGCGCTCAGAGTTTACGATTATCGATACGACAAAATAAACTCAATTGCAAACCTTCAATTTTTCTTAATATTGGTGCTCTTCACGATAATCGTAAATTCTTACGTTCAATGTGTCAACATTCGGGAAAACATCTGTTTCGCGAATCTCAACGAATCTTCGACACATTTCAAATCATTGACCCGGGTCACACAGGGTATATCATCCATCTCACGACAGTGTACAAATATCATCCGAACCGTTCGTTAAACGATCCAACTTTATGTAAAAAATACGACTAATAAAGTAATATTGATTTGCATGTTTTATAAGATGAAGATGAAGGGTGGAAATAAGTAAGACTGCAAGAGAACTGAATTCAGAACAATTCCTTTCACTTAACAGGAATAATCAACAGTATTATTAACTGTATACCACTTCTTTACACGTGTAATGAAATTAGACTTCAACGCATCCTTTTATAAAATATATTTTGTTACAAAAAAATATCACTTCTTTAAAATGCATCACTTTTTACACAAAAGGTGTCCTATTTCCTATTAAACAGAACTCGTGAAAAATTTGTGTAATAAAAAAATTCTTTTTACAACACTTGAGTCCAGTCTGCACTCATCGTATCATCATACAGCAACGAAAATAATAAACGATGAATATTTTTTCTGTTCGAGGCTTGTTTTCGTTCTCGAATCAGCAATTTGTAACGCTTTATCGAGCTCCTGCGTGCCTCCCCGTACGCATGACAGCCGTGAATCGCGTGGAAATTTCGAGGGATTCGAAGACAGGGTAGGCGGGTTCCCGCTGCAAATATTCTCGCGAGATTTTGGGGTGGCTCGAGCTAGAGGCAAGCCTTTGTGAGAGAGGGGAGCGCGGGGATTGATAGCTGCCACGAGGGTGGCTTTTTTCGCTGGCCGGCCATCACGCTTGCTCGCAGATATGGCGTCGGCCGACAACCTCCTTCGAACTCGAAACTTCGCGTTCCTCGGTTACCTCGACTTCTCCGGACTTTTGTTTCCTCCGTTTCGAACTCGGAAATTATTGTACGGGTCAATAATCTGTCTCCGACTGAACGATTTTATGAATAAAGTTTTCTAACAAGACAGCAAATTTATTCTCACAACGTTCTTAGGAAATTTAAAAATTATGATATTGAACTTTGTGTCTGCTGTCATAAGATATGATTGTGGAAATATAATTTTGCGTAGAAACTGTTGCTGCAACTAATCGAGTCATGTTTATTTAAATAACTGGTCTTTAAGGAAACGTATAAAACGTTGCGACAACAGAAGATATGGCGATACAAGATTTTCTGTCATGACAGTAAACATCGCGGTTTTACGTCACGTGTCCAATGAAAGAAGTGTTGTGACATTTAAATCTTAAAATGCTACGTCAATAAGTCTCTTAAGGTTATTAAATATTTCCAACATACCTACTCTGCTCAGAACTTAAGTTCTTCATATTGTACGCAACAGTAAATCATAAAACGAGAGTGCAGCTTTTAATCACCACAGTAATATGTATATTCCTATTTTTCTGTAAAAATCTTAAAAATGATGAAACTTATTTACATTGAACTATTTATCTCCACCCGTTCAAAGATTAAAAATTTGTATCCAGTAATCAATTTTTGACGAAACAAAAATAATGCGTTACTCGGTTGGATCGTTTCGCGAACGGTGTTGAAGGGGATGACGGATCCTCGCGTAATCCCATTAAAAGTCGATCTTCTTTCTCGCAAACTTGACGAACGGTTCAAAGACACCGTAGCTCTTTAGGGAAGCGTGTTTTTCCCAAGTTTCACCTCGGCTTTCTATCGGCCAGTCTGATAAGCACACTCGCACGTTGTATATTTTTCCCGGCACACGGAAGATCCTCGGTTCAACCCGCGCGAATCTAGATTAAGACAATCCAATACGTAGCTGATAACGAAAGAACTCTCGCGTCGATCGTCGTTGACGAGAAATTTGCGTGGAACGCGAGATTTGCGTGAAACGTTAAGAATTAAAAGCGTCAGACGGAGTCTCAAGAAACGACGTAGTCGTTCATCGAAATCGAGAAACAGTTTCAGTGTATCGCGAGAATTTTTACCAAGAATGGTAACGGAGGCTGTCTTCTGCGTACGAACAGCCTCGTGGCTCGCGAACCACGTTTCATCGATCCTTTGTATAAAGACCATTGTAAAATAGCATTTGTTACTCTTCTTAGCCTGTACTGTACATTAGAAAGAATATCGTCGACACGCTGTGTATATACGTGTAGGTAATAAGCGAAGACGGTTATTTCGGCACCGTACGATCGTATCATTTCGTAGAGATCGTACATTTGCAAACTCTCTTTGCCTGTATATTCGATGTTCTCCCTTGAACAACGTATTTGCGAACAACTTTCATACGTCGTTTAACACTTTGACTGTTATCGGTACCGCTTTGATACTCGTATTCTGTACAAAAATTAGTTACTTAATCGATATTGTATTATTAACCTACGGTTTATAAAGGCATGAATGTAACCGTTTAAATTATTACATTTGAACGTTTGAAAATTTGAAAGTTTCAATAAAGTTTCTCGAACAAATACCATCTTTTTTCACGAACGATTTTTTTTGGAAATATGTGTGATTATACAGTTATGGGATTTAGCAGTCAATGTATTAAACGCGCGAGTTTGTACATTTATTCGCTCGTTCTTTCCGCACGGAGTCACTGTATGCCGGAAATATGTTTCACGCTTCGCGCGCAGTCTTGAAACGAATTTTCGAACGACCTCTAACAACGAACAAATTCGAAATATACGAATTTTGAAAACAAACTGGAATTGAGGTAAATTTGTGATACCGAGTCTCGAGATCGATTCACGCTATTTAAAAATACCCTCACCTTTTTTAAGTGTTTGTCTCAAATTATTTTCAATTCTCAAAAAATCTATTCGGTAGCAAATAAAACAGTGCCTTAACTGGACTGTACTGATCTGACATGCAACTCGTTACAATGCCACGAATGAAACTGCAGAAAATGAAAAAAATGCGTAGACTACAGAGAAACAAATAATTCTATGCGAAAGTAGCAATGTAACAAAAATCTACTGTGTTTAAAAACAAGAACTCGTTATTACAAAACATCTTTTTGCGGTGTGAATCGAGTCTCGCATAGTCAGTGGAACATTAACCGAGTGTTCAGCTCCGAATTTTTCCCGAAATTGAATTTCCACGACACGCAAGCACACTCGCACACACACAAAAACACTGAGTATCGCGAAAGTGGGAAAAAACTACGGTACAGGGTAATTTGATATATATATGCACTACCTCAGACAAGGCTTTTACGCGATATAAAATTTCTAATTAATCGCATTAGCGTTAAAGGGAAGGAGAAAAACGGAGGTGACGGAAGGACGCAAGCGCGACCGCGAAAACCACTCGAGATTTTCGTCGGTCGAGTTGCATGTAATACACATACAGACACACATATACACGACACAACGTAAAATACACCGTCGGGTCGACTCGTCCGTTTGACGCAGTTCTTCGCGCGATAACGACCCCTGTATGAAAAGCGACGCGTGGTTCTCCCTCTGTTTTTCCCTCGGTTGTTTCGTTTGACTACTCGCGCGCGACTCGTGCCCGCTGTTGTAGTCGATTAAACTCGGTCGCTGATTCGTACCTGATTCGAGAAACACGGCGTTTAAATCGGTGACTCCGATCCATTGGATCTCCCATTCCTCTGTAGCAGCCTGTCGATCCGTCAGCCACCAGCTTTGTCGTCCCAGGACTCTTTGGACGCGTACAGACACGTGTTACCTTACATTCTAACATGTGTACATACGATGTAACATAAATCTCTTCCGACTGTTCAGGAACGGGATGTTAACTGAGTTGAACTTTTCAAATATGTTCGAAGTCTGGGACAAAAACTTATTATTTACTTGCATGTCCAATCAAGTGACATGTTTTTAATGTATTTATGGTCATACTTCAGACATTTTATTTGCGAAATTTTGTTTGGGTTTAACGAATGTTTAATGTAAATAATGGTTTTAGACCACGAGTGTATGATCGAATGGAAGAACGCACAAGTATATTAAAAGAGTAACATCCAAAAAATAGTACAAAATTTCGAAAAAGAATGATAACGAATTTAAAACAAAATTTGTGATGGCAAGTGTCTGTACGCGTGCTTGGAGCACGCTTCTCTCCTAGTTACACCATGCATACACATCCCACGAGACATTCATCAGCAGCCATACGTATATGAGTGTTACAGACAGCCAAGCAACCGTTTAATTAGATTCCGCGATTCGATCGCCGGTACATAGTTCGGAATGAGTTTTCGCGAATCCGTGACCCGTCGCGTCAGGGTCACGAAGTGTAGATAACGAACTGTAACGATTTGTCCGCAATCGATAGGGTAATTACGAACGATTGCGAAGTGTCGTCTCTTCCGTTGACAAGACACGGATGAAAGAGCGATGCTCGCCTCTTTCGCGAAGCGTTGTCCCGTAGGATGACAGCGTTTCCTTGCGACGTCGACACCCGACAGCTGGTGTACCAATTCGTCTGAACGTTTTCTACTACGAACGGGACGATTGTACTGTACATTAGTAAATTTATATTTTTGGATGAACACGGGAAAAAAACAATGCAACCACATGGACGAACGAACCGCAATTAGAAGAAGAAATCTTTCGCGGATCCATGCGAGTACGCGCTTGCCGCCATTTTAGCTCTCCATCGTCGAGAGAGCCGCGACTTCGAAGTCGTACACTTCGTTCGAATCCGCATAATGTGCCATTTCCGCGTTAACACCATCGTCGAAACACAAAACAGGTACTCCATCGAGGCTCGCTTCGATATTTAGTTCCTAAACATGTTCGGATTTTTGTAAACGATCGTTGTTTTAATGTCGAACTTTACGCACAATTCGTCTTTGGATTCGTCCAAGTATCATTTCATTGCGATTCGTATGAGATTATTAAGCGATTATGACGATGCGTCGTCTTGAACTGCTCGATCGGATAACGGTGACCTTATTTTTGGGGAAAATTTATTGCGTCGCTCGTCAAAAGTTTCTCTGACCCCAAAAGGAAGAGAGATATTTGATGAACGCTATGGTTATTAGAAGAAAAAGAGAAAATAAAGTCATCGATATAGACAGCGATATATAGAGGTTGCGATGCTTCGAACGAAATGGATCTGAAACAGTGATGGACGAAGAGCGGTGCACCGACGGACGGTGTGCATTTGTGATTTCAAAAATTTCTAAATTTCCAAATTCTTGACATACTCGATCCCAAATTTTGTACATTTAAAGATCTGAAAATTAAACTCTTCAGTATTATTTTTTTCGTGCACCTCTGTGAATACTTTCACCGACACTTGATCTGTCCATCACTGACTAAAGAATAGATATTTTAAAGTTGGTTTTGATATACTTAAATGATTTTCCATTTCGTTGGTTGTAAGAAATTGCCCAGCAATGTTCCGATACGCTCGATATTTTATACCACCGATTTTGTTTCGCAGATCGACCCGTGACGCGGAAGTGGTCACGCAAGTTTTCTTATTATCTGTAATAATAATACTAATAACGAATACAGTGTATGAGTATTAACAAATTTATTAATGAAAATAATATATTATTGCGATAGTAATCTACGTAAGTGTTGTGAATAATGAAGATAATATTGTTGCTGTGATTACCTTTAAGATTGTAAGTAGTAGGATATAGAACCACTGTTAGGTGTCACTGTCTCGATTCAATAAATGTTATTTCATTTTAATGACAACGCAAGACATCTGGATTCGTTTATAATAAAAACTCCCTAACAATTCCTCCACTTAACCGTATTATATTACGTAACTTAATCGTACAAATTTATTTTAAGTCACAAAGGCCAGTGATTGTTTGAGGTAAAAACAGGGTAAATCAAAAGGGTGTCATCATTAACACGAAACTATTATGTCTTTATTATTTATTATTCAACTTTGGTATTACGCATAACGAATAAATGATCTCTTATACAAATTTGACATCGGAGCATTATAATAAAGGTGTAACTTCGGTTGGTCTAGAAAAAGGCACGCGTAATGTAGGGCTCCAAAAGATGCTTATAAATCGCCACGACGCTAATAACACCCAGAATACAATCAACGTTATATCTGGAAATAAAATAATATTTTAAAAACCGAATGTAGTTCTAAAGTTATTTCAGTATTCAACAACTCTTCGCAACTTCTTTTTTTCTAATATTTTGTACATGATTTGACTAGTAATTTAGTTATTTTTTTGTCAATACTTGGATTTCAGGTAAAAAATATACTAATATTTGATATGTACTGATGAAATTAAATGGTACCTTTGTATTGAATTGGAGGCTGGATAATGGCATATTTAAAATCTGTAACGGTGCATCTCCTTACAAAATTGAAGATGATGTATTTCAAGGTAGATTCAGCGTAATAATCGAACGGTACGATCAACATATAAGATCCAATTATAGCACAGGTAACGTGACCAACAGTGAAAAAAAATAGTAATTTCTTGGTTATACAAACAACAACGATCGCAGTCACGAACAGAAACCAAAACATCCAATCGGAATGTAAGAGTACAAGGGATTCTGAAAAAGTTTAAAAAAATGTCATGATATTTACATTACATATTTGACGATCAATAAATTGAGTCGTTAAAAAAAAAAAAACAATTTTGACCACAAACCCCGCGTCAGACCAGTGATGGACAGATAAATCGCCCGCCGCAGAGCTCGCGGACATCAGATTGCACAATGTTTACATCGACAGGGTGTCGGAGATGCACTGATATTTCAAACTGAGAAATTTAGAAATATCAACTTTCAATTTTGCGAATTTGCCCAATTGTAATTTGGACATTAAAAATTTGAGTTTTCGTCCTGAGAAGTTAACTATCCATCAGTGTTGTACATCCGTGTATCGCGGTAGCCCATCACTGGTACAGAGGACCCTTACCGTACCCTGTTGAGCGCACCAGGTTACATAAACCACAAGAACGTAATGAAACTATGCCAAAGACGCGGTGGCAGCGAGTAGAGGGTGACCAAGTCGATCATCTGTCGACAGGGTAGATCGGACCGATACTCTGTGCAGTTACGTATGCACAGACCGTGTAATCTAAATAGGTCCCGAAGCTAAATAAATACGGGGACACAATTAGGTAAATGTGAATCTTCCAAGCTGGTTAGATCGCTTCGTGGGAGTTGATGCAGGGGTTGGGGTCGGAGCCAGTGTGCACGCGACGACTTTCCTTTCGTGTGAGTGACGTGTACGTGTGAGGGTGGATATGGTGAGAAAGGTAGGAGGCAACGCGAATGCCCGCTGCTGTTCTCTGCTGCATGGGGGGATTCGGCAAGCGAAGTTTCCACATGAGCGAACAACATTGATAAAAGCTACAAGGGGACTCTCTGACCGTGCTTCATCCCTTCGCCAAACTCGAACTAACTTCGGGGGCGGTGGGCTCTGTCTCCCTTTTTCTTTTCGCGTTACTCCTCTCCGCTTTTAAGCCGGCTTTCATTATTTTCCTATAATTTACTACAACCCCTCTCCGTGATCTTTCCTCGGCCACGCATACAGAATTGCTTTATTTCGCGTTTGCCGCCACTTTTTCTCGCGCGTTCGCCGCAAATAGTCATACGGATGTACCTGGGAAAGTGAAGTAGGCGAAACACGCGATAAAAAATCCTAACGACATTGGGACGAACAGATTGAAGACCATGAATTTTTGGCAGATTCCAAATAGCACTGCTATGCACAAGCCTAACACCCAAGCGAGTGTAAGGCTTTCTGAAACAAACGATACATGTATTCCAAAAATGAACTTATCACCTCTACTTTAACATATCAGATTGCTTTGCAACTAATGAATCTAAACGTATCTATTATCAAGCTTCTTTAATCGCACACTTAAGTAATGCAAAGGTAGCACCGATTAAAGAGCTATTATACGGCTTTCATTTAACTAGATTACCGCGAATCACCATCGACGATCGGAGCAACAAGTTTAGTCAAATAATTAAATATACTACAAAAATTTCACACCGTTCAGTCAATGAAACGTTAAATATAACACAAAATTATCGTTCCTTGACGTGTCAATAAGAAAAGTAATGAGAATGTTTGCTTACGTTCAGTGACGACATAAGAAATTACGGCTGCCGTGAAAAATACTGGTACCGCTACATCAAGTTTTATACACTTGCTTCCCAAGAAAACCGAGGCTAGCCCTACGAAGAAGCAGCAGGCCACCATGAATTTTGAATACGTATTATCTGAAAGAAAGAATGATTAACGATTCTTTTTTCATTCGGTTTAACGATCGTTACAGTACTTATATAACATAAAACGTACCTAGAACTTGGCACGAGGTCGGGAATTCTGCAGGATCGCAGGCGTACGAAAAAGCTGGAACGTAAGCGGCAGACTGAGTACCATAAGTGGCCACGGTGACGTAAACTGAGCCAGTTCCAATGTATGCGTTGAAAATTCGTCTCAACGGTTTAAAAAGATCTGGAGTTGAGATCTATTGTGAAATATTGTTCATTGTATAATACTGGATCAATGCAGTCAAACATTTTCTCAAGGTACACTACAGTCTCAACATGTTCGTTCATAATGTTAATAATTTAAAAACCGATGTAATTTACTCTGAGATTCATTGCTGTTTCTCCTTGCAATTTTCAATAAAAGAAAAAGCTTAAGTATACCTTCTGCCCATTCTCGATGATATCGTTTACCGTCAACATGTTCGTGATGTACGCGAAATAAGTTTTAGAGGATAGGTCCTGTTGAGGCAAATATACTTGATACATATCGTGTGTGACTGGATTTTTGTCACACATCGATACCGCAGTCTTGTTTAAAGGTACAGAGGCTGGTTGCACATCGACTGTTATCATGCCGTCCCTGGTAAGTACCTTTGCATATGGCGCAATTTCGGTATCGAACTCCATGTTGCATCCACCCGGTATGGGTGCTAGGATGAGAATAATGAAGTAATGGACGAGGTTGGTTTGTTTTTTATGCTATGAAATTTATTATCGTAGTCGTTTTTACACGGGTCTTCTATTAACATTGTATATAGCGGTTCAAAAATAATTTTATGAACGTATTTCGACGAAAAATGCTCCACGCAGTCCAAGGATTGTACTTGAATGCAAAGTTAAATGTTTGTGTGAGCGATTGTATCCTCGGAACAAATGTAGTATTTTTAAGACCGCGAAAATTATCAAATTTTTACTAAATTACAACAAATTTTTAATGCGACCGTCTTCAATATAATTGTAAACTATTGGTCCATTCTATCGGCGGTGGAATTGGGTGAAACGCGGAATGGGTCTGTTTCTCTCATTATAATAAATAACCTTATTATTTATTCAGAATATTAAAAAAAAAGTATTAAGTTACCAAATTGAAAATTAATAAGGTCAGTTGCATAATTGTACAAAAAAAGTATGTTCAATAATAATATAAAGCTATAACAACAATAATTCTTATTTTCTCTGTCTTGCAAAAAGAAATTAATTGACATGAAAAGTACATATAAAATATAGATAATTTTCAAGAAAAATTTTATTAAAGAAATCATCATCCACTTTCCATGCGATCAGATTTGTTTCAACTATACACAATAAATGGCAAAATTTTACTTCTACTCTTGTATTCACTAATTATATTTAATGTATAACATGACAGAAAGATTCACAAAATTACAAAGGGGAACTTATATATAAGGCATAATTTATGTAAAAAAACAATATCAATAACACTCACCTTTATCGTTGTAATTCATAATAACAAGTAGGGCCTTCGCGGAATAGACTCCATCATTTTTTAAGTACAATGATGTTATATTATTAAGATTAGGTTTGACGTAAAGGCCAATGTTTGTTCCAAATACTCTTTTTGCATAATATTTATCATAAGACAATGCAACAGGGTGCAAGTGTGAATGAATTTGAACAATATAAAATGCAACATTCGATGAAATGTCTGTTATATTCAAGGTAAGATGACTAAAAGATGTAATAGATATTTGTTTGATATATGGTGTAATGTCATTAAGAGTATTTAAATTCACTTGTATTATATCGCGATCTGCAAAATGCATCATACATTACTTTTCCACATAATTAATCGTTGCAATAATACATTCGATAACAGTGTCTATCATATCTACAATACTACTGTTAAATTACTTCTCAACTACTGTTTAAATACAGAATAACTTCAATATTCATATAAAAATATATAAAGACAAACTTGTTGAAAACTGATTTTCATTTGTTTAAGCATTAAGAGCTACATGTGTGATAATTTGATAATACAACTCTATGTTACATATCTTAAAATAAGTAAAAGTAAAATCTACAATTCTTTTTATACAATGCATAAACAAATGACATTAAAAAATTTTGACAGTGTACATTTTTTAACATACTGACACTTAGAAGCAAGTTATCTTCTTCTACGCTAAATAACATTCAAGATCGATGTGTTAATATAATATTGATACAAAGTAAATGAAACACCTCAATTATATAACATAAGTAGAAATTAAATATTTTTCTTGTACTATATTTATCTACATTTTTGTATAGTTCATCCTCTTGATAAACAAAAACAACAGTGTCACAATCTAATTTACTTCAAACAAATATTAAATAAATGCTATAAATTTATTTTAATTTATTTGCTTAATGCTAGACTTTAACTGCGTTTAAAAATCAACTGGTACAGATAATATAACAGGGAAGAAATTCTTGTCAGGAACAGTTATACGACTTTGAGGTTATGTGCTTACCATTAAAAACTTCAAAGTTTTCTTTATCAGCTTGGCAACTAGCAAGTAGTAATAAAAAAATTAGTTTTCCTCTGACAAAGTTGCGTCTCATATTGATCAGAACTATAAACCGAATGACACTTTTCCGATTAAATGATCTGAAAGCCGGGTCGGCAAGAAACTACGTAAAATAATTACGACGCAACAGCTGAAGATTAACGGTTGGCGACATGCATGAGCACTCTATACTTGTGTTCGATTTTATTTTCCTCCCCTGTCACATTGTCGCACAGTGAAACAAAAACAGTCACACAATCAAATATCGGATTTCGTGACCTTGCCGATTGAAAAAGTATTCATTTCTTTCAAGAGTGAGTTAACTATAGTTCAATATGGAAACACCGGTTTTGAAGTGAATCTTGCACAGCCGCGATTCGGCGCGGGAGAACTACCGACTATCAGATTTGAATGTCATGAAGGGTGTCAACAAATTGTCAAATTTTCAAGTTTATAAATTTCAAAATATCTAAATTTGAAATCTCCAAATTTTCAAATATTTAGAGTATTAAATTTCTTAATTTTCCCAAATCTCAAAGTTCCTAAAATTATTTATTTCTCAAATTTTCGAATTTCAAAATTTATAAATATGCTTGCAAAGTCCTCAACTTCATAAAATTCCTAAATTTTCAAGTTTCACAATATTCGGATTCTCATATCGTCAAATTTCGTATTACATAGATCACCCTATATAAGTTCCATTTAAGTCTCTTCGTTCCTCAAAAATCTGTCTTATTGGAAAAGCGTTGTAATGAAAAAAATTAACGAAATACTAACGTTGCAATCAAAATCACCGCGTACGTATACGCTGTCCTTATACAAACATTAAAAAGCAAGTATAAATTATATGTATGCATACATATGTTACACAGATATCTGATATATTGACCACCGCTTCATTAAACGATAAGTATTATACTTTAACACTTAATTCGTATAAATATTTTCATAAAAATATTCGTAAGAGAAGGTGATTCGTTTTGTCCCACTGTGTGTCGTGTTTAGCGCGCGTTTCGCGAAACGATCACGAGGTGGCGGCGCAGTCGGGCCAAGATGGCCACGCTGGATCAATGAAACGCGAGTAATCATAGTAAAAACAGAAATTGACAAGTGTGCAAGTGAACACCAGACTTTGATTACGGTGTAAATGGACCATGGGGAAGGATCAGGAGCTGCTAGAGGCAGCGAGAAGCGGAAATGTCACTGTGGTCGAGAAGATTTTGGGTCAACGAGCGAAGAGGAGTGGTCCACTGGCAAGGTGGGTGTCACCGTAAGCAGACTTTGCTTTTCCCCGTTTCTTTTCCCTTTCTCGCATTCTATTTCGCGCTCGTCCCAACAGCCACGATTTCGTAAGCGTCGTCGAGTACCGATTGTTCGAGAAACGAGCTCGTTGTCTGTCAATTTGACGGATGATTCGGTTACATACGTGTACACGTTCGTTCTCGAATCGCGCGAGTGCAGCGATTTCTGTTTCGATGATAAAAGTGTTTATACGGTATTGACTGCCGTTCAGATCGGTCCCTTTCATCTCGTTTCCAACAGCTTCCGTGTTGCCTTGATTAACGGACTACGGATAACCGTGTTTTAAGCATAAACCAAATCGAACGAGTCATTACGCGTACCGGTACCTGCGTTAAATTACCTACGCTCGATTGATCGCTACATTTTTGCAATTAAGTCTGACAGTTTGCCAGTGAGGCACTGGATGCCTGTACGATGTTTGTACCGTTTTAATAGCACGTATCGTTACATTGGATAGTTTTCATTATTAATTAAGCGAAAGAACGGTGCTTCGACTGTTGTGATAAATCACCCTGTATTATTATATTCTTCGATGTCAAATTTTAACGCGTTCCGTGTACTATCCTTTTACCTCTCAATTAATAACAAACACTCCATTATCCAAAATTGTTCGATCTCAATATTTCAGAGCTGCAAATTTTATTTCAAAATTTTATCATTTAAAGGTTTATTTATTAAAGCCGAGTAAGCTGAGCGACCCAAAAATCTATCTGACACTTTATGGATCAATGATACACTATAATATTATAATTTCTACGCGAAAATACAGGACGCTTGCGGATCGTAATTTTCCGAGCGTAATCAGTTTTGCTCTGAATATCTATGGTGAACAACGCGCCCGTACATGTGTACGCGCATTATTGTCGAACGATTATTCATGATTTTACCGTGACCATGAATCACCCTGCATACGATACATGACGAAGATGCGTTGATACGGACACGCAACGATCCCACTATCAATTATTGAAATTTCTGCTGAACGTTTCAGCGGGACACGCGTAACTCCTGTGTTCCGTTGACCGTTGTAGTCGTCGTGTTTTTCATGTCTCTTTGAAGACGCGTTTTAACGTGCCAGGCCTTTAATTGAATTCCCCGTGATAACCAATGAAAAATGATGGCCGGAAAATGGGTCTCTGTCATCTCTGGTTACTTCTCGCGACTTATCGAGTCGTGAACACTTCTATCTTCTATTTATGGAAGCAGATAAAGAGGTTTATTCGGTGGGTAGCTATTTATTTTCAAGGGTCAACGATAAACCCCGCTTGGACGTGATAAATCGAAGACGGTTGCAACCGAGTGATTATTTTTTATTTTGTACATAAGGAAGTTTACGCATTTTAATTGTGGACGTTGTAACGTTGATTACAACAGTGTTCTACTACTTCTATTTTAATATTTTATATTTTTTTACTGCTATGTTAACGTTCTTTGATTTAACTATTTTCTTGTAGCTTGCTTTATTAATCAGGCCTATAGACAGGTTTGATTGAGCGCGGGTTCAGTTTTCATAACAATGAGTCGTATGAATTGTTATTGCGTTACAGTATACAAGTATAATGTCGAGTAATACATGTAGATACAAGAAGTATCAGTTGGTACAGCATGGCGATATCAACGTGCACATTAATAATTAATACTCACACTCACAGTAATATGTGTCGCATACATACCAAGGTTACAGACGATGCGTGTCGTGCATTCAATTAAAATGTTAATGTTCGAAAGCTTATTTTTCGAGATTATGTGAATCAGCTGAATTAATCGAGTAAAAATAAAATTTACAACAAGCATTTTAAACCGATCTCTATATTAACGAGAACAGAGACTTCCGTGTTTCAGCGGAACGTAAAAACAGGCTTAATAACTGAGTCATTCTTCCGAGTTAGCGTAGTTCTAAAAAGCGTCATTTGCATGTACACACGCGCAGCTTCAATTCTGCGTAACTTGTGTGGAGAAGATAATTGGATGATAGAGTAAGTCGACGGAATCAGTGACGCGTTCGATTCTATTCAGATTCGAACCCGCGTCTCGACTCCGATCCGAATCGATAACGGATTGATCGAAACGGTCGATGGTCTGCTGCCTTCTTTATTGACCCAGTCCCGCGAACTTGTCGACAAAGATGACTTTGTCGTCGCTTCTCGCGTTGCCATTAATTAAGTCACGCTGGGTCGGCTCGGAATGGGACCAGAAACTGACGCTTGTTTTCGAGAGGGTTTGACGCTTGTGTACGCGTGCATCGAGTGCATTCACGCATTTTAACACTGATTATCGCGAGCAAAAAGTGTTGAATAGGAAGAGAAAGGGTTCCAGGTACAGGATGCCACAAAAGTTTGTGCAGAACTTTCGCGTCTTACATGTGATTTCTTGTGATGTTCATAGAGAGTTGAACATTATGTTTATTATGTACTTGTTATAATATGTTTAGGGAATGAACATAGTAATAATCATAGAATAAACATTTAGAAAATAAATACGATTCATTATATTTATTCCAGAATACATATGTGTATATTTTTATATTCGTCTCTCTAAAAATTACAGAGTACCAAAATCCCAATATTTTTACATTTTAACCAAAGTCCCAAAATTCCATGATCAGCCTTCCTCTAGTTTGAATATATCAAAAGTATGTACTACTTTCGAATTTATCGCGTTTAAATATTTAACACGATCCATGGAAAAGTTCGGAACGGGTGCACTTTGGAAACTCTATATTAAGGATACAAATCGATTACTTAGTTAAATAGAGCATAGAAGAGACCAAAGGTGAGTCGGCATTGTAACCGAAAACGAAGCTGGCGGGTGATCCTAAATGTATCACGAAAAAGCTCCTCTTCTAACAAATTGCCTCTTTTACTCGTCACCGAGCGTGCAACTTGTCCATAACTACAAAGCACGCCCGCGGCAACTTTCAACCGAAGCTCTTTGCTCTCTTCTGTTCTCCTGCTCGTCTCTCGCTGCCAGATCGGGTCTTTTCGTCCTCTTTCCAACGGCATCGTCGCGCTTTCTCGCTCTGCACCGCCGGGAGATCACAGGAAAGCAATATAAAACGGCGGATACCGGCTAGAGACAAGAAATATTTTGCGATGCTAATCACGAGCTGCATGCTCGCCACTTTCCGTGTACCATTGCCCGCGAATGCGTTTATCCTTTGTTTGCGCGACGTGTTGACTTTGGGTCGGGCAATAATTTTAATCACGAGCCCGCGGGGATCACGAGAAAGGGCTCCGCTCATCTGAAAACGTCGCCTCTGGCGATTCAACCTTCCGTCAACCAGAAATTTTAACGTCATCGGCTCGCTATCATAACTTCGTCCTCGCTCTTTGATGTCGCGTGGGCCCGTCCTGGAATCCTACGGAAACAGGAAAATTCATTTTTAATTTAAACTCTTCGATTCGGTGAATTTCATGGTCCACTCTGCTGCAATTATTATTCTTTCTGCTATCTGTTTCCGTGCTTTTGTTCTGTCATTTATTTAGATACATTCTGCTTAATTCTTTACCCTCGTTGTATTCCACATTATCTTTCTTTTTGGAGTGAAAATACGGTTCCTTGATGCAAGCAATTTCTGCTTCTTATAGTATATATGTGTTTAGAAACATGTACGACATTCGTACTGCAAGGATTAACAGAGTGTCTGCTATTAGGGATGTCTCCTTAATGATTCACAGAAGTAAACCTGAATGAACCAAGTGAACTTGAGATTGTTCGTATAAGTTGATTTTTATTTCTCTTATCTGAGAAAGCATAATCAACTTTGCATACAGTATTCTTGATCTATAAAAAAAAATAAATATCTGTCATTATTTATATTGAAAAGTTATGCAGATCAAAAGACGCGCCTCCGCGTTGATCAGCAAGTGGCGCCAAGGTCCAGAGGCGCGTAATTCAAATTGAAGAAAGATACCGTTTTTCCGCCCTTTGAATTTCTCCGTTGCCCAAATGGCATCGAATTTGAGCATCCTTCCCTCCACCGCGATTCTATTACACTCGACCGATATCGTTGTAATGTTTTGTTCGTTCTCCGCTGTTCCGGAAGAAGGAATCGATGCGTTAAACGATCAACGAGGGGATAATTAGCCGACAAGCAAGGCATTCTACCACGACGAGGTTCGCGTTCAATGAGTTCGTTTCTATATGGATCGATGAACGATCCTCCCTTCGAGCACCGCCCTTTTTTCTCGAGGGGGCGCGAAACTGCATAAAGTGCAACTATAAGAGAGTCTCCGCTTTTCTCTCTCACCTTTTTTTTCGAACTGACACTTGGAGTGTTTGCGAGCCTGGTGTTTTTCACGACATCAGCACGTATCGTGCCCTCTCTGCGCCGCCGGAGGAATTTATCGATTGATGCCCTAACATCCCTCGCGTGCGTGCACCCCTCGTTGCTTTTGGTCCCTGTCTGTCTCTTTCATTATATTCTTTTCTTTTTGTCGCGTACATAGTACTCTTTCTTTCCATTTACTCTTGTTTTTCTTTCTGTTCTCACGAATACCGTATCTTATGTACCGTCTGGGGGTGAAAATTGTTATGATATCGATTTCCGCCCTTCGACTTACGAGGAAACCCTCGCAAATTCCTTCACGTAAAACCTCCGAATTTACGGATTTATAAATTCTTACTTAAGTTTTCAACTTTTCTTGAACTGTCAACTTCCTAACTTCTTATATTCAAAGAACTGCATAATTGATTTAGATAGAATTTTTTATTTTGCCTTTTGAGCTCATTACAACTCCTGCATACACTTCACCACCCCCTGAATCTTCTCTCTCCTAAATTTCTGTTCTGCAACCCTCTTAGTTGTTATTTTCGCTCTATTAAGATAAAAAATTGTCTCGAGTTTTCACTGTACGTTTTCATGTGTTAGTCTACTATTTCCTTGCTTTTCCTGCTAGCTTCCTTTTGCCTTTTCAATTTGTACTCGTCTGTTTTTCTCTTCCCTTTTTCACCTCCCTCACGTTCGAT